ACAACTGAATGTAAATTAGACCTATGGGTCAATTCCCAATGCAAAAATGTAGAATATTTCTCAAATAATGCACATGATAATGAACACTCTATTGGCAAACACTTATCAATAAAATATGCCAAAGAGTGTCTGAAACCCAACATATTTAAAAATCCTTTGGGGAAACAGGTAAAAGGCGAAATGCACTTGAAATATCCAATTTTGCTAGTAATGCACCTTGGCCCTTAGAAACAATCAATGCAATTGCATCATCAGAAATTGAATAATTTACTGAACAAACATCAGGATCTATGAAGTCATTAACACTGCTTCCTGGGGGTATGATAGATTAGTAATCATCCGCCAAACACCCTGCTTCTTAGGGACTAGACCTATGGGGTTGCACCGCAAGTTTCATATTGGAAGATGTAAAAATGGCCCCAATATTCTGCCTAATGTAAATTCCTTATCAATCTTTTCTTGTAATTCATATTTATATTGATTTGCAGAAGTCATGTTTTTAAACTCCACCCTCCTCCTAGGACCATTAAAATTTAAATGAAAACCAAACCTAAAGCCTAAGGATAAACAATTGGCATCCTCAGCATTAGGATATGAAGATCCAAATTAACAGAATTAATTGGCGAATGACCCATTTCCCATAAGCTAGCACAATTATGCGATAGGATTGGATTTTGACCCTCCCAAAGGCTGTCGGGACTGTTGATTCCTGGAATAAATATGGGATTGATTACGGACATTAAACTGAGATGCAGGTTTAACTGCCACTGAATTAATATTTTTCTTAAAACATTTGACTAATGGGTGAAAAACATTGCACTTTAGACAGCTATGGAAAAAATTACAATTGGACTTGTTGCACATACCATCGTAATTGTACGCATTAATTTGCGCTTAACTTGCTGGCCTGGCTGCTGACGAGAACTCACGTTTGTGGAAGGGGATGATTGCAAGTGAATCAACCACAATTCCGCATCAACAGAGGACCAGCACAAGGAATTTTTGTAAGATTTTTTCAGTCTTAATCCAACCAATTACCTCTCAATTTTTCAGCCCCTTCGTAATTAGTGTCAAATATTTAAACAATGGGATAGCTTGATATGTATGTTTAGTTAAGTATACAGAAGCAAATATAGAAAAGGCATCGAGCCATTGTGAAAAACTTACCATTTTTTGGTCCTTTTGCTTTGGTTTTACGTGGAAAACCCCATCCCCATATACAACTTGATTTTGCTGAGTTACAGTAGGATCATGGGACAAACGGGTTGCAAAACTTACAAAGTGAACATAATTTTTTTCTTTTGTATTTTGCGGCACATGAGCAGCAAATGGAGAAGCCGCACTGATAAAAGGATTCAGCAAATTATTTATGGGGGTCATAATTGACCGTACCTGAAACATTTGTACCAGGATCTCTATGGCAGTAAAGGTAGTCAATGTGGATGGGCCTGACGCAGGCTGGCTCTTGATCTATGGCGCCGTCTGCATGGTCTGTGTCGCACTCTGCATCACCGCCGGTGCTGTATTTGGCATCAACACCGGTGACGAACTCAAAAAAAAAAAACCCACAGGGGCCGCACTTTGTATACCCACCGGTATCAAACTCTGCATTACTGCCGAAGCTGCACTTTGCGTTACGTCACTGGGTTAAATAATGGCGGAGGTAGCCATGGCCCGAGTCGTTGTCGCAACTCGCCGATAACCTTTACCAACAGCCGAGTTCACAGTATTTGCCATTTAGTTTATATGTACTCTTTATCTTGGAATTTCTCGATGCCCGGAGCATTTTTTACTTTATTTATCCTATATTTGCAGGATGACAACTGATTGATGCTACTGAAAATAAGCACGTCTGCTCTTGACCAACTACGAAATAAAAAGGAATAATCTAGATGACATGTGCAATAAAGGAAGATGAATCAGCATACCGAACCCGAAGCAAATTACACATGCAAGTGTTAAGCATCTTTGAATACAACTGCAAAAAATAACCAGGTTTATCCATATTGGATAAACCTCATTAAATACCAAACTCATGACGTCATAACTGCTGATAGATATTTGCCGAGGAAAATGAGAGGAACGAGAATTCATGTAAACAAATATATGAAAAAGAAGTTTAAAAAGTATATACCATGAATGTCATATGAGATTTATAAGGAAATAAAGATAAAGAATCAGATTTATTCGTATCATTGTTTCTCATAATGAAGACAGGCATATTTTCAAATCCCGATCAGCCTTTCGTCTGTCATTGTTAATAACAAAAGTGCTTACGTTCAACACTACGCCTCATACTTAAAAATATAATTTTTGTTTATATCGAAAGCTTGTACATGTATTCAACAGTACCTGAAAAGTTTTGCTAGAATCGTGTGGTAAACATGTATTAATAAAAATTCCTCGTTAGTTTGTACAAAATGTATTAATTTAGCTGAAGTCTCATTCGAAACTTTGGAATATTTTTTCTATGACGTGAGAGTAGGTTTCTAGCAACAATTTTCATGGTCCAGTGATGTTTTTACATAATAATTTTTACAAAGAGAAATGAATTATCCTTGGGTTAAACTTTTCACTTTTTCATCAAGGCAATTTTTCCATTTATAAACGTCACGTGATGACGTCGCAGTGGAGTGCTTCTTTTAGCCTAAGACTCATTGGCGTCTATACAGTGGATAATTATAGTAAATAATTAATCTATGGCTTTTCCGATTTATCAATGTAACATTTTACCAAAAAAATTGTAAATTCGCCGTATAATGATCTGGGTACTGCCTAACCATACCTGCGTTATAAAATTTGACCATTCGTTTCACGGGAATAAGATTTTGGAAGGAAGTTTGCAAATCAAAACTTTAACATGTGTCTTAAGGTTCCGAATTTCGAGGGTAGGGTACATGTACTAGTGGTCAGATACAACCTCTCTGGAAAAAAAAATGGTGATGCTATTATCTCTAGTTGCCGAGATACACCCCCAAGATTTTATGCCCACTGTATAATAATAAGTCCTCTAACCCTGGGTCTGAAGTTTTGAGGGTAGAGTACTAGTGGGTCAGTTACCAGTCCTGTGCAGAAATGGAGATTGTTTTGGATCCGAAATCGACCCCTCAAGATTTTATGCCCTACTAAGTTAATAAACATTGGGCTCTGAGACCTTTAAATTAATATGCACTTCAACTTTTTTGCTTCACAGGAATGCAAAACAGGTCAACTAATAAAGTAGCACGGTTAGGGTCCATTGGAATTCCAACAGTTTGTTGGAAGTCCTTGTTTCCAAAGACTACATAAATGTTGTCAATGAGGAATTCAAGCATCCTTTTTTACATCATTTTACTCCAGAGTGTTTTTGAATTAGAGTTATTTTTAATCAAGTAATTTTGCTGATGACCAATCAAAAGTTTCCGAGTTCCATTTTTATTGCAGAAGCAATTGTCTATGATCTCAAAATGCCTAGTTCTTAATTCATCGTAAAAATGGTTGTATAAAATGTGGAAAAGTCGTAGGTTTTGATGTTATTGACTTTAGAAAAACTCTGTGATTATGAATTTTTTTAAAGTTCACATGTCTTTAACACCACTATAAGAATATACACAGTACGTCTGAAGTTTCTCCTTTACAGCAGTTATTATTTTTTGTAAGGAGTAAAGTTAAGGGCTTGGTAGAGCATTTGGTACCATGTGAAATTTATCATTTACGATCAATGCATCCCCTTATTGTTTGAAGATGTTTTCCTTTCTTACTTAAATACATCTGTGATTAGATTGATTGACTGTATCTTATCCTACGTCCCATTCGAGAAATTTTTTCACTCATATAGAGACGTCACCATATACAGGTGAAGGGCTTCAAATTTAGACCTTTACTCGGCACTTAGGACCATTGAGCAGTGAGGGTTCTTTATCGTGCCAACGCCTACCGTGACACGGGGCCTCGGTTTTTAAGGTCTCATCCGAGTGACCCACAACTTTCACTTCAAAGTGCCGAGAGCTTGGCAAAGGAACAGTTGTTTCCTATTTTTTATCGACTTAGGTCAGTCGCGGCCGTGATTCGAACACACGACCTTCCGATCACGGAGAGAGCGCTCCATCTAGGAGTAGGGTTGAAATGATAATATAAATAATGGGTTATTTAGATTATCGAGAAGTTACCTAAAATGTCTTTCTTATTGATGTTTCATCCGGAGTTTTACAATACATATCAGTCCAACAGACTAAATGACATTCCACGAAAAATTATGATCCAGTGTTAGCAAAGGATGAAAATCCCCCCTCCCCGATTTTACATGTTCATGTTTTAACCATGACATTTTGAACAAAATAGTGAACCTGTATAACACATACTACAGAGGAAGATCTAAAATGTGCTCTTATACCTTAACACATTTAACTAATTAGTTAATAACTAGGGGTTCTTTAAAAAATAAATCTATATAGCAGCTGAATTCCATCAATATAATATAAATGTCAACATCATTCGTAAACCGCACATATTTCATGAAATATAAACACCTCTTTGACAAGAACATGCTATAAACCTGGAGAACATAGTAACATTTTGCCTTGCTTTTTTCTAATTTTGATATGACTTCCTTTTTTCATTTCTTTCATTTGTCGAAAATATATATATATATATATATTAATTAATTAATATAATTTAATTAACTAATTTAACATGACTGATGAAGGCCGGCAACACGGTCGAACTAATTCAAAAAGTGGTTTTGAAAGTTTTTTATTCTTTTATCAAAAAGAGGCTTTGGATATATATATATATATATATATATATATATATATATATATATATATATATATATATATATATATATATATATAATTATTTTTCAATCTTTGAAATGTTCATTATATTCTTTTGAATATTTTTCAATCATCTATTTTTAAGCACAAAGTTATATCAAATAGTACAAATTATTGTTCAGATAGTTCCCTCTTTAATGTCGAAAAATTTTTGTTTAGATAGTTCCCCCTTTAATGACGAAAAAAGAAGTAACGGCATGCAGCTTTGACCAATTTAACTGATGCGTTTTTGAATCTCGTTTAGGCTACTCAAGAGATGTTCGAGTTCGCTTTTCCAATTCTGGAAACATTCACATTCACCTTTCAATCTCAAAATTGTCCTCGTTATGTTAGTAATCTGCTTTTCAATTATTTTATTAAATAATCTTTCCACAAGTTTTCTGTAGTGAGTTCCGTAAGTGCTCTCTAGGTCTGACTTTACTTTTTCAATATTGTATTGTTTCACAAGATCTCTGTATGTTGCATCAATAATAATCAATTTCTTTTCCTCGGTTGTCCATTTCTTTATTTTCATTAGAGTCATTGGCGAAAGCATAAACTCGGCTACTGCACAGATTCTTTTAGCTGCAGATAAAACTCCAATCCATTTCGGGGCCGATTCTAACACACCGACTATAACGGGAGAGTCTAACTCGAAGGAAACAGCTTTTTCTTGTGTTTTTTTCTCTTGTGATCCTGTCATATTGTTTTGGATTCTTTGAATTTCTTCTTGGATATCAGAAAAACATTCTTTGATCCTTTCTAAGACAAATGTTAATTTTTCGATGACAACTTCTCCTCTTTTCCATTCAATAGTATGTGAGTAAAGTCTTTCTTTTATTTCATCTAGCATTTTCAGGAAATGGACAGAGGCTACTTCCTTTTTGCCCGGTGGGTTGAGGATCCTTTCTTTTCCATCATCAGAATTCAATTCTTCGATAAGCGTCTGACTAAGCTGTGTTAGTGTGTCAGATATGAGCTGGTTGAGATCGTTTTTGGTCTATAAATGATCAAAAATAATTTTCCATATTTAAGATCAATATGGAGTGCTATATAAAGCATCATAATATTGTTTATCACTCTGATAAGGCTTAAAAACAAATAAAGATTTGACACTAGTCTGAATGTTAAAATGATATCCCAAGCAGTTGATCTGTTTTTGTAAATCTTTTACATAGCGATAAAAAAGAATTGTTTTGATCATGAATTCACTTTAAGGCCCAAGAGCCTTAACGGTGGCCTGAGTAAAATACAACACTATAAAGGATCCATAGAAGAATTAAAATAAAACGATGTAAACTGATAGAAGGAGCAATGTTGTCCAAGCTAAAAGGATGATCGGAGATTAACAACAGAATTAGTCTATAACTCAGTACCAAATCTATTTACTTGCCTGTGCTTGCCTCAATTTGTCACTATCACCACACAGACTAAAGAAAACAATAGTGCTTGAACACTATTGGTAAACCCTATCTCATTCCCTACCACAATGGCCTCTCCTGGTATTTGAAGAATATTGATTATACAGAGATAAAATATTTCTGTATTATTTTTATATATCTATCATTTACAAATCTGTCTGACAATTTACAACAAAAAAAGTACTTTTTGGTTTTATATATTATAAAATTTCTTGCATATTCAATTGATTCGTTTACTTTATTTACAGTGATTTACTTCTCCCAGTGGAATACAAATTGCGATAGCACTGCACAGCACCAAATCACGTGAGTAAGTGGAGCCGAAATTCAAAAATCTGTTAAAAATAACTTTGCTTATTACAGCTGTTACTTCGTTTACCTTCTAGATGCCAAGGAACAGAGAAGATTTTCAAAGAGATAATGTATTTTCACCATAAAATCAAAAGAGCTCCCTTCTTTCCAAACACCCTTAAAACAAATTTCAAAATTTTTGAGAAAGCACAACATTTGCTGGCTAATCATAACCACATTTAGTTTATCTGCTAAACATCCAGGAGCAGAGAAGAAGATTTTAAAAGAAATAATACATTGTCAATATATGATTACACATGTAATAGAACCCCAACTTAACACCAGAACCCCTCAACTAGGGCTCATGAAATTAACAGTTTTGGATGAAGCACCCTTGCTCATCATAACTATTTACTTTTATTGTTTTCTTAATACCCACGAGAAGAGAAGAGGATTTTCAATGAAAAAAAAAAATCATTTTATCAATAAATCCCTCCCTTACACCTGACTCTGGGGTCATAATTTCAAAAGTTGGAATTAGGCACCCTTGCGCATCATAACGATGCATCTTGTTTATCTGCTATATATACAGGGCTAGAAAAGATTGTGAAAGAACTGACGCATTTTAACTGTTAGAAGCCGTCAAAACTCCAGAAACCCTAACTGTGAGGCCTTGTATTTCACAATTTAGGTAAAGAGTCGAATGCTTATTACGATCTTACCAACAGTTTGACTGCCTGATGTCGAGGATTAGAGGAGAAGATTTACAAAGAAAGCACTAATATTGATGATTTTAGCCCTAACCAACAGTCCCCTTGAGGGAACCATGAAATTAAAAATTTTTGTCCCCCTCCACCTATTGATTTTATATGCAAAAATTGTTAAAATTGACTCAGTGGTTAAAGAGAAAAAGTGAAAAATTCACAAGTTTACAAATGAGGACACTATGCACGACGACGATCGAAAACAGAAAGCGAAAAGTCATTTGAGTGACTCAGATGACCAAAACTAATGAAATACCAAACATGAATTTAAAAAAAAACAACGTTTTTTTTAATGCAAATTTCTTTTAGATTCTAATAATTTCGATTCAATAGAAACCCATGTTAATTTAGTAAAGATATAACAAGCAATTTTTTTTTTGAGTTACATAAGTGTTATTCTTTCAGATAGATTTTTAGACAATAATTAATATAAAGTTACCGTTGTCATCCTCTCTCTAAGGATTAAAATTTGTGTTTCTAAATTTTCCATCTTTTTTGTACAGACATCTTTTGACATTGCAGCAACATGTAGACGTCCTTTAACAGTCACCTCAATTGTTTTCAGCATGTTCCTTAGAAATCTTTATTGAAAGTAAACATATTTAAAACATATTTATTAAGTTGTTTTGCTGAAAAAACAATACATTTTGCTTTGAATGAAAGTGTATAAATTATTATTACCTCACACTTGGAGAACAACTGAGAAAAGGGTAACTTTCACTCCTAGAGTTATTTATTCAGGTTTTCCATCATCAAGTTCCGCTACTTATGCAGTAATATTTCAATATCAGCTGAATATAATGTTTGTCTTTCAGCTGATTGGGTAGGTAGTAGCATGTTCTGAGTGTTTCAAAATTGAACCAAGGCGGACTTCTGATATAAAAGTTCATGTTACGGGGCTTTAAACATGCTCAATTAAATCAACATTTTCAAAAAAATTCAGTGACGTTTTAATGACTTCCTTTGTAAATACAACCTATCTTTGGGTCATAACTTGATTATATGTTCCATTCTAAATGTGAGGACATTGGTTTTATTTTTATTTTAGCTAAGGATTACTCCGTTTACATGATCAATACAGAGGAATCATGTTGGATGTGACCGTTTGTCAGTGGATACTCACTACTCCTTGGCATTTGATCTCACCTCTGGTTTTTCCAGGAGTCCAATCTTGTTTGCCTTTGTACTAATTGTTTTGCTTAAAACATTTATAACTAAGATCGGCCACTGGTCGTTATATTCACTTTTTCATTATTAGTTATTTAATTCAGCAGAGAAGTCACATAATTACTCTACGGTTATTATCGCAATTCTTCTAAAGACGGAAGTAAATAACTGTGAAAGGATATTGCAGTTGTATAAGCATGTTCATAATAGTAACTTTATTGAAATTGATTCTTCTTTTTAAGAACTCAATGAAGGTAAAATTTAATCAATAACAAAAATGATTTATACTTTTAGTATATAAATGCATACTTTTCATGTTGGAACTGTCGTATGTATAGGTTTTTCTCGAGAATCTCTGACAGTCGTCTTTCCAATCTTTTGTATTCATTTTCAAATTCTGCTTCAGACTCTTTTGCCTAAAACACGTATAAAATAAATATATGCTTAGGGCTTCCAAAATAACGTCTCTTTCCAACTGTGAGGAAAGTCTGTTTAAGTAAGGAAAAAAACTTTACTTTAAATCAGATCTACATTTGGATGGAGGGATATGCTAGTTTTTTTTTTTTTTTTTAATTTTTTTGTTGATGGTATGTAACAGAACAGTGTAAACATTAGGTACTGTAATAAACTCTGCCAATAATACTTAATACAGTGACATCATTGGATTTTGTGGTGGCTCAATTTTCCTGGAATTCGTGGGTACCTCTCATCAACGAATTTACATCCTCCATAAATTAATAAATTAGGGATACAAACTCATTTCGTTTTGTAGGTATAAGAGAATACACGAAATTAGGTCCCCACGAATTTGTAAAATTTACGCAATGCACGAAAATTGGTCCCATTAAGTGTTAATGATTCCACAGTATTTGTTAATATAAAGTATTTCAGACTTACACTCTTTAGGGTTGTTCTAAAAATATTCGTTGTATTTGAAACAGGCCAATGTTTTCTTAACTCTTTCTGAACACCAATCCATGCATCGTCTCTCTCGCTAGGATGAATTGCATCCCACTTGTTAGAAACAAATAGTGCATCTACTGGATCAAAGCAAGGAATGTCTTTTTCTTCATGCAATCTTAAGACTTCTTGAATAATTTTGACGAGCTGAATCATAAAAGAATTTTGCGGTTCATTCTGTAATTCATGGTCAATTATATTTCATAAAAAAAGTGTATTGATGTTAGCAGCGCATAGATTTTTTTTTGTGGAACATAAATGATGTTTTCATGGTCATAGAAAAGCGATCATTTAAAATGAAAAATTTAAACTACAAATATGGTTATAGAGTTTTATATTATATATCGCATATAGGATCATATATTAGAATTGTTACCCTATCATTCTGCACTCCTCCAGCATTCGTGACATTGGAAACAAAAATGAACGACACTGCATTAGGTAGGTATTTCATCATTTTGTCTGAAAGCTCCAAACTTCCACCGATTCCTGGAGTATCAACAAGCATTGTGTTTCCCTAAAATGAAAAAAAAATCTGTGAATAAAACTACCATGATCAACTTTGCATGCATTTCTTCATTTGAAGTATTGAAACAATCTATAAAATTTCTTTGTTGGGATTGGGGGGAGGGGGTTCATTTCTCATTAGATTTTTTTCCCCATTTATTCCCCTCAATATACAAAGACTTTCTTTCCGTTAGGTACTTTAAATATATATATGACCCTGAGAACAGAATTAAAGTTTTAATTTGAAGCCCCTCATCGGAATATGATGACTTCTCTATATGAGCAAAAAAACTTGAATGATTTACAACAACAACAATCAATCAATCTTTATGGGTATACCTTAAGGAAAGGCACATATAGACTAACGTCCACATGATCTATCCCTTTAGAAACATGATCATTATCTTTATCGACATATCTCTGAAGACATTTAACGAATGTTCCCTCTGATCCTGGGTCGATACTCCTCTCCTCTACTGTCTCGTTCTCCTTATTTACGACTTTGTATGATATCTTTCTAATAGGGTCGTTTGAATTGCGAATTCTACAAATAGTGGAAGTTGACTCGGCAAGCTGCGGCTTAAATAATGATGTTCCCACCAATCGATTTATAAGCGTTGATTTTCCAGCACTTGTTTCTCCTAAGATTTTACAATGCAAGAAAAGCAATAAAAAGGATATAATTTTAAAGACGGTTTTTTAACAAAAAATTTAATATATATCTTTTTATACTTTTAGAAGTTTTGAACATATTATAAAGACTTTTATCATTTTACCTGCAATGATGATACAAAGGTCGTTCCTATTTAAATCTCCACGTCTTTTCTTTAGTTCTTCAGAATAGTTTGGGAATGATTCACAAAATTCGGGGATAAGTATTTCAAATTCTTTTGAACTTAAGAGGTCTTCTAAAAGGTCAAAAATTAGATTTATCCGTGGAATGTCTGTTAGATCTTCTTTTGAGGAAAGTGGTATACTGAAATTTAAAAAAAATGCACGAAATAAACTGATGTTCATAGTATTTTTATATTAAATAAACGGAATTAAACAATTTCAGAATTATCCACATTAATATGCCAATTTCTTCATAGCTTACTTCTTCACCGTATTATATAATAAATTCAATATTTTCATGTCAAATTCTATAAACATTATATAATGAAAATTGTTCATGTATGTTAGAAAAGGACCTCTCTTTAAATGAGATGTTATATACATGTGTATTGATAATTATATTGAGATTATGATTCAAATACAGTGGTAAATAAAATAATTCATTCAAAGCCATACACCACATCGTTCTGATACCAGAGTTGAATTTTTGGCTATGTTTAAGAAATAGTATTTCTAAATTTTTATTATAGTTATATACATTTATATACATGCCATCTGATCCCGCCTTCGATGTTTCTTTGAGGCCCGTGTTTGCTCTGCTCCCGATTTGTATTGTTTAAATGCACTATGAGCTTGAATACTGTTCGTTATTTCCATGCATATTTCATTAAGCAAAAAAACATGAGCTTCAAAACTCTTTAACTGGCTGGTAACACAGATACACATTTAGCACACATAAAATGTACATATGCATATAAGACAAAACATACATTAACTTACACGTTATAAACAGAAGCACATATATAGAAAGGAGCATTATACACTTATAAACACAAATAAAAAGAACAAAAAAATGACACAAGACTAGAAAACACAAACATATATATACAACGTAAATAATTTACACAAGAACTAAAAGAGGGGGGTTAAGACAGCACTAATATAGTAAAATTATAACTTAAAACCAGCAAGCAGTAAGCAACAAAGGGGAGACATTAGATATGAGGCATAAAAGTCTGAAGTCTGCAAGAACTGTATTTACAATTTAGTTCGCCACAGAAAATTGAAATGTAGTTTGAATATTTGATTGAAAGAGGAAAATTTCCTGACTTCATTTGACAGAGTTTAATAGCTTTGCTGCCTCACACCTGAACTATTTTACTCCATACCTTGTTGTTCTTGGTTTTGGGGCCTCTGCAGTATTTGTATATCTAAAATTGTATGAATTATTTTTTTAAACAACTAAGTCTCGCAAGAATGAACTTTAAACTTGGATAATTTTAAAAGTTTCTAGAGAAATGGTACGCATTCTTCGATTCTTCAGAGATGGTAGTTCAGATTTATGTAATAAACTTTCAAATGAGCATTTATAATCTTCCTGGATGAACCTTAATGCTCTTTCCTGGTTTTAATTAATCATCCGAGTATTCTGCTCAGTACAGATGTGCCATGTTAAAGGAGAATAACTTAAGTTTGACATATGAATACGTGATATATTGTAAGTTTCCCTAACTTATTTAAATGCTTTCCTATTCATTTAAGAATATTTTGTTCCCTTGCTGCCCTTTTTACACATATTTGTAATATGTGTATCAAAAGATAACCTGAAGTCAAGAGTAATGCCTAGTTGTTTAACCTCATCGCCACAGGGAAGTTGGATTGCATCTAAATCGAAAACTATGCTTTTACTTTTTTTATCTTCCCAGTAGAAATTCCTGAAAATTTTCAGAGGTAGCCTGCATTTAATGTGTTTCAACAACCATCTAATGACAGATCTACTGTCATATTCTAGAGTTGTTACAACCCGTTCAAAAGATTTATCAGACTTTGATAATGTGTTATCATCTGCATAATCATTACATTAATTTATCTACAAAGAATAACGTTTATAAGTATGTTAAATAGTAGGGGACCAAGAATAGATCCTTGCTGGGCACCTTTAATGATGTTTCACATGTCACTATTATGATGAATTATTTTAACACATTGTTTTGTGAGAGGTATCTTTTCGGCATATCTTGTGCTGATTTTGATAAGCCATAGGCTTTTAGCTTCAAAAGGAAGTACTTCATGGGGAGGGCAACCAAAGGCCTTTTAAAGTCTCGGAAAACTGAGATTACCTCATGCTTATGTATTTTCCAAAAATACATAAAAAAAAATTCCAAATTAAGAGTCGCCAAACAACATTTGAATTAACTTAATCTCTTTGCTCATGAGACACATTGTTTTGAACTTTGCAGTTTCCACAATCATGGCAAATTTATACAGTACAAAATATATTTTCTGGCAAGTTTATCTTTCACGTTATATAAGAATAATTATTTACCAAGTGAAAAAGGATCATAGTATACAATTACATTTTACTCTCTTTATAAAGCAGTGACTTCGTATCTTGATCAAGATGTGTTTCAGGACCTTCTTGTACATTCCCAACTGCAACCTGAGCTGAACGTATATTCCTGAGCAAAAAAAGGAAATATTATAAATTGATTTCCAAAGCAGTAACAATACAACAAAACTCATTTCTCGCAAAATTTGCATGTATTTTAAATGACATTTTTTGAGAATTAAGGGGACGAAGGACACATGGTCCCATGAATCATTTTAACCAGGTCATAGTATCTGATAATGTAGGTGCAAAAAATTATTTAATCATCATTTTCTGATTAAGTCTTTATTAATTTGTTTTATTAATTTTTTTTGTTTTATTTATTTTATAGTTTTATTTCTTATTTAAGAAAGTGTTTTAATGTTTCTGTCTATATAATAATAATGAAAAATAATGAAGATATCGAACAGTGACCGATCTAAAAAAAAATCTATAAACAATACAATTCTGTGAAGAGGGCAAAAAAAAAAAAAAAACACGGATTCCTGGAAATACCAGAGGTTGGATACGCCTAGGAGGAGTACGACCGGAATTGACGGCAACGTACGATTTTCACATGATGCAGAAAAACTGTGACTGCCTATCGCTACTCTAGACATTTGCTGTCTTTTTAATATATATCAAAATTATTTGATTTTTTTTCTATAAGTGATATTTGTGGGAAACTTAAAAAAAACAATTACGTAGTTTTGCTCTTATATCCAGAACTTGTCGTTTTTGTTTCCGATGAGACCAACACATATCAAAACTGTGAATAAAATTTAATTATATCATGCAGATTTTATTTAAAAAGAGAAAAGATAAAATTGACGATTTCTTTCATCACTTTCTACATGTATGACAACCTGAAGTGACAGCTGACGCTCTTAACCTAAATGGTTTCACATACTTCTTAAGGTCTATTACTCATGTAGGTTTGGTGTCTTACTTTTTTACCGTTTCTGAGATCTTACTCGGACAAGTTCTCATTTTTAGGACATGAAAATACGCGACCGAAAGTGAATTTTATAAAGATATTCGACCTTACTCTAGCCAGCATTATTAATATATTTGAAAACCATTTCAAATACTGCATGTATATGCAATATTTATGGGAAAGTTCAAACCTGATAAAAGGACTGCTTTACTAGGAGTAGGACATGCTAAATTAGTAACACACAAAATATGAAAAAAGGAGTAACATTTTTTTAAGCTTAAGATCATTTATCCCCATAAATCATAACATGATTTTGTGACATTTTGATTTTTTTATCTATAAAATTCAGGGAAAAAATACCACTTTTATCTAGAAAATTCAGGGAAACAATACCATTTTTATCTATAAAAGGTTAAGGAAAAAAGATCATTATAGTACTGTAAATTCACAAATCTATTACCTCGGTACTTTTTTCACATTAACAGGAGTTTCAGCATCTTTAAACCCGGCAGCTCTGTCCCTGTCATTCAAATATTTCATAAAATTAAATGAGATAATTGTTGTATATACTGCAACAGAGATAAGAGATTTGCACTATATCTTACCTTCTTCTATTAGATTTGCAACTGATTCCGTTAATATACAAAATGTGCGATTTATGTCTCATTAAATATTTATTTTGAGTATTATATTAACTTTAATTTCGAAAAAAAAGTATACAATTTATGTTTTTTAAAACAATATTTGATTTGAACATATGGAGAATGCATAATTAAGAAATACAAATGACTGTTTTATGATCTACAAGTTTAGTTATATTGCAAATTGTAATCAAAACCTTTCTTCTATTTATCTTTTTACAGTGAATTCCCAGTTACCGACCTTAATTTTTCGTTAGGTTGTAGATTATTGAAGATATAATTATTTTATTTTTTAATGTACACTATAATCAGTCTGCAAGAAAACCATGCATCGACCATAAAACTTGCAAAATGATGACTTCAAACGAGACTGTTGATATCCTTGTTTCATCAACTTGTTTGTCAATAGCTTGCCTTGTTTTAAGAATTGTTCATACGTAGTGCATGCTCTTGCGTATCGAGTCAGCTGAGAGACATAAAACCATATGCAGATGATAAGTAATATTTATACATAAGTAAGGGAAGATGACGGTTGAAAAATTGAAGTCATCAAGTTTATCATAAAGTTTTGTTGTTAGGTTACCATTAACGTCTTTTTCTAGTAAAATGTGAAACAGATGTGTCAGACTCTGTGATATCTATTATTTCAAGCTCACTGAGATATATCAAGTATTGTATCAACTGCCACACTGTTGTTGAAGATGAATATCATTTCTTATTTCTATGGCCTCTTTATAAACAAATACGAATTGAATATTGTACACGTTTTAACAATACATGCATATCTTATGAAATTCTTAATCCAGCAGATGTTAAATCAACAAGAAATATTTGTAACTTCATACGTGTTCATACGCGTTGCATTTAACATTAGAAAATCTATGTGACTATATATGTATACTGTATGTACAATGAATTAATTGCTCCACATTTGATTTTTATCAATAGATAAAATTAAATTAAATTAAATTAATTATGTGTACGCCTAAATATGGTTGAAATACTGCCGACTAGGCGTCAAATAATAATTCATCAATCAGTCTTCTTGTGTGTGTTTTTAAGATGTTCAAGAAAGAGCAAACTTAATATAATTATTTCTTACTTACACTACGATTGAAATAAATAAATTCTGTGTTACTTGTCTATATGTAAAAGTTGGTTTAAAAAATATTAAGAAGAATACAAGTTTTATATAAGTTTGAAAATATTGGTCTGTTGTACATACTGGCTAACACGATGACAAAGCATACAGATTTGGAGTTTAATAACTATAAAATCACTAATTTCTAGGAGGGGGAGGGGGTGTTCGTTGTTTTTCGTTTTTAAAAGTGTAAATTTTGGAATGTGTAACTATTAAACACCTCAGAGCCATGAAATATCAACCCCTCACAGAAATATTATTTCCTAAAACTACTAAAATAAATGATTTTACAAAATTATTTTAGTAAGAAAATATAAAGAAAAAAACCCATGTGAAATAAAAATTTTAAAAATCCCAGATTTTAATAATAACAAGACTTTGTTTTTTAACTCTTTTATGTCAAAATTATTGCATTATGAATCTACATGTTTGTAGGAAAATTAAACTCTATGATTTAAAAAAAAAATAATTGCTAAACTCCCCCAGAGAGTATTTAATATGGTATTTCTTACCAATATTTTGATAAATCAGAAATGTTTATTTAGAAGGGTGTGCCAATTAAAAATTTCAGGCGGCAGAATGCAAATTTATCTAAGGTTGTGTTTAAGTATCATGGTTTATTTGAATGATTATGTACCAGAGTCTTCCTCAAATAACACACAATTTAATTCATTTTTTATTATAGAGGAAATGTCTTGCAAAAATGTAGGAAACATGGTTATTCAATATGATTGTTGAAAATGTGCAAGTCAGTCAGCACAATTTATCATAAAATCATTCCGTTTATGAACAACTTGCAATATGCCAACCCCGATCATGTGGGGGTAATTTTTGACATTTTATTTAATTTTCAATTTTTTTTTTTTTTTAAAAAATCAATTTAAGTTATTTCCATGAAGAAAATTGTTACATTTTTTTCTTATCAAACAATAAGTATTTATAATTTTAAGTTCTATATTTGACTTTGTATCCCATTTGAGTTTGAAGAATTTTTCGAAAATTGGTAATTTTGTAAATTCCTTTTTCTGCATAAATTATTAGTTGCAAAACTTAATATTTTGCAGATATTTTGTTGAGAATTATAGTTTGGCAATACTATCAATTTGAAATCTTTTAATTTTTGTAGTCTAGTCTTGGGAGATTTTCGGCATTCAATGTGTACTAATTTTGTCAAATCTTCAACATTGGCATTGTGCCAATTTTTCAGAGTTGTCACACCTTGATACAGTGTTTGTTACATGTTTGATTATGATAAATGTCAGATTAAGAAGAACCTAGTCACTTTAAAATACCTTAAAGGAAATACAGTGAGTGAAATAAACCAAACGTGCATTATGTAGGCGGCGTTTCCTATGGCAGCCATGTTGTTGGATAAAGGGGGGGAGGGACTTTTGGCTTTTTTCAATTACATGTTATGTGGTCTTACTTCCTACCAAATTTCATCAAATTATGGAAAACTTCGATTTGGACAGTACTGCATGGTAGACTGGCTCTTAAGTGTTCATTCAGCAAAAAGGGAAAGAAGAATTATCTGATAAGAAATAGAGTTGATTCTACTCTACATTGCTCTTTTACTTAACAGCCCGCAGATTACCAAAACTGATACACAATGCCAAGTCCTATATTAAGTTCAGTATAAATATGATTCATAACTTCAAAGTATCCCATACACGACTGACCTTATCTTTTTAGAAAAGAAGTGTTTCAATTCCTTCACATTTGGAGTAGTTTCATCAGGATTATCCATATCACAGGTTATGAAAGTATCTGTATGATTCTGGAAGAAAGAAAATAAGATTTATCTATCCATGTGTAATTTTTAGACGGTGGCTATTTAAAGCCACTGTCTTTTAAAGCCGCTTTTGGTTATGAATAACCAACAGAGTATCCTCTCGGGGATCCTAGCGGCGATTTTCTGTAGAGACAAAATAATGAAAATTGGTTCGATCCGATGTTTGAAAATGAAAAATGCATGATTAACAGATACTCTCGAGTTATTTTAATGATATTTTGTTGATGGGCGCAAAGACTAATTCCTGATTCTTGCTGTAAATATATTTATCGTCTCATAAATATTCATCAAATTACATCTATTTACAAGTCAATACATACACAAACAGATTCGTACACAATGAGTCATACAAACCACAGAAGTAAATTCATACACAGGGTTTACTGTTTACTGTTGTTAACATGATAAAAATTTTACAAGTCCATTCGTACACACGCTGTGTTTTTTTTTTTTAGAGTCAGAAAATTTGAAACAAAAATATTTATGGTTAATAGTTTTACATTTTAACACTTTCACATCTTTGAAATACAAATAATTATTGGTACGCAGTACAGTTAAGGTGCCAAATGGAAATATCGGCGAATTTTTTAGATAGAAAATTCATTCTTTACAAGGACGGGCGTTTCTTTTTATGACTTTACTATTATCGGACAAATGCAATGTGGTTGAAAACTACATGTTGAGGACGATTAGATTTTTTTATTTAGACTTGTCACGTGATGTGGCAGTCATGTGGTTTTACCAAATATACCTGAAGTATTGAGATCATCTATAAAAATTCTAATATTGCAAGGGCAAAACCAAGTTAAAAATCTAAGATTTAAATATAATTATTTTCAACACTCTTTGTAGTTTGTGAAAAGTGCTGCGAACCTATATAGATTCTACTATCTAATTGGTAAAGTTACATTTGTTAGACCGTGTGTTGAATATTTTGCTGGTCAAGTACATTAAATATAGATATAATTCATTCATTTGCAAGATTTCAACAGGTTCGCAGCACTTTTCAAATATCTTCATACTTCTTGAGATTATGTGTAAAAGCTTGTCATAAATCATTGAGGGTATGCCCTTGCAATATACCGATTTATTACGACCCTTCTAATACCCTTCAATGAATCTGCATACAAATATACGACAGTATCGCTTGTCTAGGGAATGTACGGGAAGTATATGAATAAAATCATAAAATAGACATCGCATCCAAGTCAATGGCCTCTTATATATATACAATTTATGTTTTATTTAATTACAAAATACTTTTCTCATTGTATAAATATAACTTGATCCGCCTCTCACTGCATACAAACTGCGTCAAATTTTACAATACACACGACGTCACATTGACAAGTGCATTGCGATCAGTAAATTGTTTATATATTGCTGTGTGGGATTTAACCAACGACAATAATGCATGCACTAGTTAGTATTGATGTAGTTTAAAGCTATTCAACAGTTTAGAATAGCAAATCATTTCATTTTGTGGTAATTTGAAGAACTTATATTTTTGTGTGATGTCATATTTAGCATTTCCCGTATAAATTAGGCCCCGCCTCCTTACTGCAGCCTTACCTGTGCTGCGTAAACCAACACACGCGAGGCGGTTTCTTGGATCTGCGACAAACGATACATACGAGATGCTCCCACCTGGGCATAATCTAATTATGAGATACACTATGCCTTGAAAATGTATCCAATTTTCTTAATTCCTAGAACTAAAATATGGTTCGAGAGCGGTGTATTTCTTGTAACAGAACTGCATGTCTTTCAATTTTTTTAAAACGTTTTATGTTTTTTTTTAAAATATTACTTATACAATTAAAATTTTATGATGTCTTGATTATTTGAAATTCTAGTATCTCTTGACGATACCATATTAGAAAAAAAAATTCCGGAATGGAAAAAGGATCACACTCATTTATATATTCTTAAAAGTTTACATAAATAATTGTTAAAGTCACATACGATGTAAAATGTAACATTTACGTTATGTTTCGAATTATAATTATTGAAGATATCTTATTGTGACAATTTTGAAGAAAAAAATAGAATATATATATTGACAAATTTAAAAACCATTACATCAATCATGAATTTCCAATACTCAGGATATTTCTTTTAGATTACATCATAATAATTAGATAAAGGTAATTTTCTTAACAGTTCATAATAGTTATATTATCCTGAGGAATTTGAATTATTAATAAGACGGAGTAGAAATTATCAGTCAAATCTCTTGTACTCTCCAACTCACTGCTCGGATACCATACTTTAAAAATATGTCAAGTGACAACTTTGACGTACAGTTAAAATTTATTGTTTACCGATCCCGCATTAATAGCAGTTATATATTTATAATTGTTATACCCTTAAATATCTTTCTATGTATTTATTACAAAGAAAAAGTCACACGGAGTTAATGATTTTATAATAATAAAATAAATGTAGACTGGTCTCTCAGTCCAACATAAGAATCATTAGACCACGTCACTGCTACGTCACAAGTAACTAGTCATCGTTCAATATCGGTGACACGGAAATAGCCGAAGTTTCAAGAGTTACCGCGTATGCTATTTGAAAGTTGGCGTCATGGGAAAAATTATGTTTTGTGAAAAATAAATTCTGTGTTTTAATAATTTAACATATGATTTGTTGGACCTGAACGAGAAAATGTGTTGCCCTCAGGGCAACATTTTCACCTTCAGGTCCAATAAATCATATGTTGTCCTCATACCAAGTCAATAACTGTATAATATGAGTTATCTCGCTTACGACACTTTATTTTCATCTTAAGGGAGACAACACAAGTGTAACCCTGTGCGATCTCTTGCGCTTTTTCATTGTAATATGAAGGGTGGCAAGGCAGTTGTCAACTGAGCGTGAGGAAGACATCACAAATTGTCTTCCCGGACGTGACATGTTCTTAACCAATCAGATAGACTGTATAATTCTCAAAGATAACAATTAGATATATCGACGACTTATTATTCGGTCTGTCAGTCCGAGGACATATTATCTGGTCTGTCAGTCCAACACTCCTCCATGGCACATGATCCCACCTCTGATGTTTTGGAGGTCCGTGTTTGCTCTGCTCCTATTTTGTATTGTTAATGGAATTTTGAGCTTGAATACTGTTCGTTATCTCCATATATTTCATCAATTAACAATAGTTACCTTCATCCATATGTCGATTCGATATATCCAAGTTAACTTGAAATAAACAGCACAGAAATTACACATCGGTTTTATATTTGGATTTTTATAGAAAAAGAGTTAATGGTAACCAAACAACAAAAACTTTCTGAAAAATGTGATGACATTAACTTTTCAATCGTCAACTTCCCTTTCTTATGTAGCAATATATCCGTATCACCTGCATACGGGATTTACATCTCTCATTTGATTTTATACGCAAGAGCATGCTCTATGCATGAACAATTTCTTAAACGAGGTGAGTTATTGACAAACAAGATGATGAAACAAGAATATCAACAGTCTCGTTTAAAGTCATCGTTTTGTTAGTTCTATGGTCGATACAATGACCTTGTCAGCAAATACAATCTATCATTAAGTCAAATGCTGATTTTCTTACTAATTTCCCGATCATGACAAGGAGCAAACGGCTGGTTTGACCGGTCGGCAGGGGATGCTCACTCATACATGGCACCTGATCCAACCTCTGTTTTTGGAGGTCCGTGTTTGCTTTGTATTGTTTTAATGGATATTAATATTTCATTACTAAATTAATTTTGTTAATAATCTGATATATGTTATACAGTATGTTTATTGTTTTATGACCTTGTGAGTAGTCAAGGGTAGGTACTTTATTTACTATGTGTGTTTATTATGGTTTCATAACCTTGAATTTAATAATTAGCTAAAGGTAGTTAATTTATTTATGATACACATCGTGTTTTTTTTTTTCAAAATAGTATATAATTTTACATTGAGAATACTTGTTCTTTCAATTGATCATAAGCATTTCAACTTATGCTACTAATGCATAAAGGATCTTCTTGTTTACAAAAGAAGACATCTACAACGATCCAGTGTCGAGTAATGTGAGTAACCATTTTAAATTGATAATTTCAGATGTGATATTTCATATTTGAAATGTTGGGAGACATTTTCCTTAAGAAGGGGGAAATGTCACAGGGTGAAAAAATAATAATTTTTATAAATATAATTCATGTTTTAATATTAAATAACCTAATGTATTAAACATCATTTCATTATTTTCATTATCATCTATATACCATAGTTTATTACAGTCTTTTAGAATTTACTATGTATATATTTATAGAGTATCTCATTCGTATTCTTAAGCATTTAATTTTTATTTTTGGATGCCGTCGGTCCTATAACAGCACCTGGCCTTGCCGACAGATTTGAGCGGTATGATTTGTCGGCACGGCCAGTTGCTTTTATAGGACCGACGATATCCAAAAGTAAGAACTCAATGCTTATATTTAACAAAGTGGCTCCCATCAGCCACGTACCTCCGATCACTTGACTCGACACTAATTTTGTGTTTCGGCGGTGTGATGCAAGGTATACTAATACGAATTGATTTTATAATGAAAAAATAATTTTCTTCCCTCTGCTGCAAATCCGCCTCTTCAGAAATTGATGCATTTATACATCAATACATAAAGAATAAAATTATTCCATTATTGAGGTTACGAGAATATCACCCAAGTCTTCATTGCGTTTGTAGGACGCAATAGGTAATTCAGAGAAGACTTTTTTTTTTTTACAGTCTTCATCATTTGCAAGAGTATGCCAGTATTTTATGTTTTCTTTTTAAATGTAGTATACAGGGTTGTAGTTTGACAAAAACAAGAGGAATTCTTTTTGTCCCTGGTATCACTTCATTGCAGGTTTTTTTTTCTCTCCTATAGTTAGCATGTACATTCTGCATACTAGATTTGATTTCAATTTTCAATACAAACCCCTCCGAATTACTT